AGGTGTATGGATATGGGGATGAAGAATACTATGAAGAGAGCATACCTGAGAGGCTAGTGTAACTGGTACAGCCTAGGAGGAGTGAGTTAGAAGGCTCCATTGATATGGTTTTAAATAGGTTCACGAGGTTGAATCCTTCTTCCTTTGAGGGTTCAATGAAGGATCAAGCAGCTAAGAAGTGGATTGACAAGCTTGAGACCATATTCTTAGTCATGACCTACACGACTAAGTAAAGGGTTCTCCTAGCCACTTTCATGCTTAAAGACACAGCAAAGCAATAGTAAGAAAGTGTAAGGCCGACTGATGGCGCACATCTGACATGGAGAGAGTTCAAGAGACATTCTTCACCCATTATTTCCCAGTGTCATTTTGAGTAGAGAACGAGTCTAAATTCCATAGGCTCTAGTAGGGAAACATGAATGAAGAGGAGTTCATAATGAAGTTTAATGAGCTATCGCAGTACTCTACTTATCTGAGTCATCATGATGACGAGTATTGAAAGGCCGAACAATTTCTTAACAAGATGAGGCATGAATTCAGCCAAAAGTTGGCTACATTTGATATTACCTCCTTTGAGGTTATGTGCAATAAGTTTAAAGCTATCGCCAAAAGGAGTATAGCGGCATAAGAGAAGAAAGGGATGGTTAAGGGAGATTCTCTTCATGTATAGACCCTACGGGCGGAGTGAGTAAGAAGTCAAGTTTTACCTCGAGTATGTTTAGGGGTACAGTGCTAGGAAAACAAGAAAAAGAGCTTCTAGAAGGGGTCCCAATCTAAGGGATCTAACCAGAGGAGCAATGCCCCAAGAAGTGTGGGCGATGTTAGAAATCAAACATCTTAGTAGGGATCTACAGCTCTATCTGTGACTGTGCCAACAAGAGCTCCATAATGCAATAAATGTGAAAGACATCACCAAAGATAGTGTTGGGTCTGCTACCAATGTAACAAAGTGGGATATATAGCAAAGTATTGTCTAAAAAATACCTACTCCAGATTAAAGATTCGCTATCCCAGGGCGAGTCTTTGCCATAATCAGAGAAGAGGAGGAGGCTTCACTAAAGCTAATTAGAGGTAAAATCTTACTCTATGGTAGCCAAATAGATGCCTTGTTTAATTTTAGTACCACGCACTCTTTTATATTTGATGATTATGCAAAGAGACTGAAATTGTGTGTGCTTGAAATGTCATTTTTCATAAATGTGTCTACACTGGTTGATGCATCTATGAGGACTAATATGGCTTGTTTGAAATAAGAGCTAAAGTTTGACGATAAAGTCACTGTTATTGACCTTATTTACTTACCTTTGAGTAGTATTGATGTGATAGTAAGGATGGATTGGTTGTCTACCAATGGTGTGACACTTGATTGTAATAGAAAGGCAATTTCCCTACTAGTCTATATACTAGCAACTATTACCCCTGAGCTTGATAAGTTATTGTCAGTGTTGGATTGTGAGACTCCCAAGTTCTTATCAGTACTATAAGTAGAGAAATTTGTGAAAGAGGATTGTCAGGCCTTCATGATTTATTTTTCTACACATGAAGTGTATAGCGGCAGCATTGACAAAATTGGTGTAGTAAATGAGTTCTCATAAGTGTTTAATGACTGAATGTCAGGATTGCCACCAGGAAGGGAGACTGAATTCTCGATTGACTTGGTACCCAATACTGAGCCAATCTCTCAGACTCCATATCACATAGCTCTTGTAGAATTGGAAGAATTGAAAAAGCAGTTAGAAGAGTTGTTAGAAAAGGGATTCATCTGATCGAGTGTATCGCTTTGGGGATCGCTAGTATTATTTGTGAAGGAGAAAGATGGGAGTATTGACTATAAACAACTCAACAAAGTGAGAATTAAGAACAAATATTCATTGCCACAGGTTGATGACCTATTTGTTCAACTTGCCAAAGTAGCTGTTTTCTCTAAGATTGATATGAGATCTGGCCATCATTAGTTGAGGGTTGAGGCAAATGATATACATAAGATTGCTTTCAGAATGAGATATAGGCACTATAAGTTCTTAGTAATGCCTTTTAGATTGGCTAACGGTCTTGCAATCTTCATGGACCATGTGAACAGGATCTTCAGGCCCTATTTAGACAAGTTCTTAGTAGTTTTCATTGATGACATCCTGATATACTCCCGAGATGAGGAAGAACATGCAAAATACTTGAGAATAGTCCTGCAAGTGTTAAAAGAGCACAAGTTGTATGCCAAGTTAAGCAAGTACAAATTTTGGCTACGAGAGGTTAAATTTTTGGGTCATGTTGTTTCTACTGACGGCATAGTAGTAGATCCACATAAGAAGTTTCTTGAGCTTAGCCGGTTATTATCGAAGGTTCATTCAAGGGTTCTCTCATATTGTTTCTACTTTGACAAAGCTAACGAAGAAAGATCAACCGTTTGTCTGGACAGAGAAGTGTGAAGAGGCATTCTAGACTTTTAAAGAGAAATTAACTACAGCACCAGTGCTAACTATTCTAGATCCCAAATGGCCTTATATGGTCTACACTTATGCATCACTTAAGGGACTAGGTTGTATGCTAATGCAAGATGATAAAGTTGTGGCCTATGCATCTTGATAGCTGAAACCACATAAGGAGAACTACCTGACTCATGACCTTGAATTAGCAACCGTTGTATTTGGCTTGAAAATATTGAGGCATTACCTCTATGGTTCATAGTTCAATGTGTTTAGTGACCATAAGAGCCTCAAGTATTTGATTGACCAGAAAGAGTTGAACATGTAACAGCGAAGATGGATGGAATTTCTTAAAGATTATAACTTCGAGTTGAAGCACCATTTGGGAAAGGCCAATATAGTGGCCGATGCTTTGAGTTGCAAGACCATATACGTGGCATGATTGATGATCCATGGATGCAAGTTGCTAGAAGATTTCTCAAGTGAACATCAGAATAGTCTAGATTTCATCATATACAACTTGAATACGATGATAATCACCAATAAATTTTGGAAAGACTTGAGAAAAGCTCAATTTGAAGTATTTGATGGGAATTAGAGATGGGATTGAAGCAAACAAGACCGAAGACTATTGCTTTAATGACAATGGACTAGTAGTATATAGAGACTGTGTGTTTGTGCTAAACAACAAGGAGATTAGAGAGACCATTCTAGCTGAAGCTCATCGAAGCAAATTCACCATTAATTCAGGAGCCACCAAAATGTATCAAGACATGAAGAGTCAGTGGTGGTGGCCTAGTATGAAAAGAGATGTGACAGAGTATGTCTCATGATGTCTGATTTGGTAGAAGGTGAATATCGAACATCAAAGACCCTCAGGGTTGCAACGTGGCACAAAGAGTAAGAAGCCACAATGCAAAGTGCATTAGCTGCAACGCATTGTTCTGTTTTCAACAAACAAGATTTTTTTCAATCGTTTTCAATGTCTATCAGCTTCTTTTACTCCTTTAAGGTATTTCATTCTTTTGTAACTTAATTTTACTCTAATTAAAGAGTTAAAGAATGGGATTTAACTCAATTTGTATTATGAAAACTTGGAATCCTTTTATTCTAAAATTACAACTTGGTAATCTGATTAATGAGTTAATCTTTTGATTACCATAATGTATGATTTTAAATGGTGTTTGGATAAGGCAGATATTTCATGTCTTACATTACTGGCTCTAACAATAATGAATATTGATTATACTTTATTTGCCATTATATAGAGCATATCATTTGTATTGTATGTATGGAAGAGAATACATGAAAAGTCGTCTTTACTTTTATTACCTCTATAATTTCTTTCTCTTTTTTCTTTTCATTTCTATTCTTTATATATTTTATTCGTAATGCTTTCACAAATATTTTAAGTGAATTTTTCAAAGAAAAAAAATTACCCAAACAATTATAGCTTTCTAAAGTTTCCCAAAAAAACAGAGAGGAAAACACTATTTTTGATTCCTGCATTTTACTTGAGTTTTGATATAAGTCCTTATACTTTTTTTTTTGTTTTAGGTCCTTATACTTTTCTTTATTAGTAACGTTAGTCTTTGTATTTTTATAAAGACTTTGACGTGACACAAACAGTGTTAATGATGCTAACATGTCAATTAACAATGTTAACTTTGTACTTACATTTCAAATTGATTCTGATATGGATTTTTAATGAGCAAAAATTTTTAAAAAAGCCCACATCATATGAAATAAAAATGTTGACTTGATTTTTTTAATAGGAAAAAATTAAAAAAAAGCCAATATCAAATGAAATAAAGATATTGACATGAATTTGTTAATAAAAAAAATTTAAAGAGTCCAGACAAACCCTTTTATTTTATCTACTGTAGTTCTTTTTTTTTGAATTTTTGCTCATTAAAAAATCCATGTCATTATTACTCTGACATGTAAGCACAAAGTTAACAGTGTTAATTGACATATCAGCATCATTAACATTGTTTGTACCACCCCAATGTCTCTTTAAAAATGTAAGGACTAATGCTGATAGAAAAAATATAAAGACTTGAAATATCAAGGAAAAAAAAAGTGGAAGACCTACATCAAAATCTAAGCAAGGTGTACATACTAAAAGTGGTGTTTTTCCAAAAATTAAGGCTTATTTGAAACTGTTTTTATTTTATTATTTTGAAAATTGATATTTTGTAAAATAAGTTTTAAAAACAAAAAAATAATAATAAAAATAAATGTTTTTCTCATTCTTTCTTATTTTTTAGAATAATAATATTAGATCACTTAAAAGATATTTCTGTTTTTCTATTATCCTAAAAAATATTTTATTTTTTTATTTTTTAAAATATTTTTTTAAAAAATGTTACCAAATAATTTTTTTTATTTTAAAAAATAAAAAATTGTTCTTAAAATAGAATAGGTTTCAGGCAAGTCCTAGTTTTCCAAAATTTATGAACATTCTCACCCAGTACAGTTTGGATTGGGCAGTTACACTTTGTGCCAATTTTACCCTTAATGGAATAACATAATTTCAACTTTACCCATCCATAGCCCTAAGCCGCTAACCCGGCTTCGACCCGTTAGTCGATCACTCTGCGACCAAGGAGAAGCGTTGAGTGTGCTGTGCGACGGAGGATTCGACGGCGACGTAACCCCATGAACGACGGCGTTACTTAAAGGCGTTATTCGAAGGCTTTTTCATTTCTCTGTTACTGTACTCTTCTGCACTCTCCATCATCGTCTCTATAATCCATAAGGTCGCAAGTCCTTCCTCCGGCACCTTTTTAAACTTCTCTTCCTTGAGAATCTATTTTTCTGATCCTCATTCTTTATTGTTGCTCTTTGTTGGAAAAGTGAGTATGGAAGAATTTTTGGTAGCGCAACACTAGTCAAACATAACTAGAACGTTAGGGAACAGAGGAAGTCGCAATCATTATTTGGTGGTCTGCTTCCTTCTTCAAAATATGGTCACTTTGTATCAACTTACACACTAAAAAGCAAAATAGGACCTATTTTTTCCCCTGAAGCAAAATAACTTGTTTAATCCAAGCTTGTTATAGTTCTTTTTTCTCATTGATATTGGTTGAATAAAAAGCATCCCGTGAAGTAGTTGCAACCAAGAATCAAAAGGTGAATTGGATGCCTATTCTTAACAGCACGGTGTGTTGAGCCTCCCCCCTCCCTCCGGGGAAAAAAACTACATAAATTAGGTATTCATGTTCAAACGGAACAGCTGGTCTTTTTTGGGATAATGCTGAGACATGAATTGATTCAATTGTGCATTTTAATTTTTGGCATGCCATGTTGGGTCCTGTATTTGTAGTTTTGGTGCTATGTATAAAGTTACATTTTCCGTGGCTGTGGTTTGTGGTTTGTTAAATAGTCTGAAAATTGTTGGCATGCTTCTTGCTACATATGTCAACGTTGTGATAGTTATCTGTTAAATTTTGGGCTGCATGCGTTTTTCCTATGAAGTGCAGTACGGTCTTTTCTTATGAACTGCCATATATCGTTCTCTTTAGCTATGAGTCTCTCATCTTCCTGATTATATCTAAAGGAGGAAAAATAATTATTGGACATATGCAGAGGAGAAAAAATAACCAGTGTTTCTTTAAATCATCATTTTTCTTTTCTTTCTGTAAATGCTCTCATACCTATAAGCTCCTCCTTTTATATTACTTTCCTATGTCTGGAACTTTACATGTTTGTCTGGTTCTGTTCAAGCATAATTCAAGTTCATGGTTTTATTGTTTTGGTTACTTGAACGTTTCTGAATTTATATTTTTGTTTGGCTTTTAAAAGTGCGAAGTTGCCTCAGAGAAGGCAACTTGCCTTGTATTTCATGTTAGTTTGTGGCTTATGTTGAACAGTGGAATGAAATATCTTCATCTTTTGTATTGCCAGGGAATTGAAATGCTTTCTCTTGGGTCTTTCAAGACTGGTATCATTCTCTTGGTAAGCATTGTCTTTAATTGAGTTAAATGAGGCTTCAACCAAGTAGAAGAACGAGAAGGAACTACGAGTGCCAGTGAAAATGAATTGAAGAAAGAGAGAGGGAGAGAGAAAAGCAAGAGAGAATGGGTGAGGTCGTACCAGGTCGCAGTCACAAGCTGAGTGATTTGCTTTTTTTCCCCCCTCAAATAATGGGCATTTTGGTCAATGGACAAAAAATCTTATTCACAGCTAAGTCTCTAGGGACCTCACAGCCATTCATGCATTTGGTGGGACTTTTGGATAGTTAGATTGCTTATAGGGGACCTTATAGTAATTTTCACTTAAAATTTTGAGTCCATTTATTGAAATACTGTACATGCATATTTGTCTCTACATAGTAACAAGTCCACAACCCAAACATACATTTTTATATGTGTGAGACCGTGAGTGTCTATGCATACATTATATCAACCTCAATAGTACAAAAGAAAGCACCTCAATAGTGCAGCCTCAAGTTTGTCCAATTCCGATGCTTTCATTGCCTGATCTAATACTTAACAATTAAAAATGATTCATTGCCGCTCCACTTTTAGAAGACCTTTCAATGTAGATTATGGCCTTCTTTCCATGTTAGATGCTTGCAATTCAGTCAATCAAATTAAGCAAACACATGCTCAACTCATCACTACCGGCTTGATTTTTCATCCTATTCCAGCCAATAAGTTCCTCAAACTACTCACTCTTTCTAGCTTCGGTTCTTTGCATTATGCCCATCAAGTATTTGAACAAATTCCCCATCCAGACTTGTTCATTTACAACACCATAATAAAAGCTCATGCTCTCTCACCCACTTCTTCTCATAATTCTTTCTTGGTATTCCATTTGCTGACCCGGAGTTCAAGTCTTTCACCCAATCAGTATACTTTTGTGTTTGTTTTCAATGCATGTGGAAACGGGTTGGGGATCCTTCAAGGAAAGCAAGTCCGAGCTCATGCCATAAAACTTGGTCTTGAGAGCAATCTGTTTGTTACTAATGCTTTGATTGGGATGTATGGAAAGTGGGGTTTAGTAGAGGAGGGAAGGAAGGTTTTCAATTGTGCTGTGGTTAGGGATATGTATTCTTGGAACACCATGATGGCTGCGTACACTGGATCAGGCAAAATGGATCAAGCCAATGAATTATTCAGCAAAATGCCAGAGCGAGATGTTGTATCATGGAGTACTATCATAGCTGGTTATGTGCAGGTATTCAGCACTTTAATTAAACATAAGCAATTTAACCTCTTTTGCTGTGTTGTCCCCCACCCCCTCCTTTATGGTGTGTTTTTTTGGTAGTGTAGAAGTTTGTGGTTGGAGGGTTGTCCTATTGAATAAGACTCATTGAAGTTTATTAGCGTTTACTACCATTATACTATCAGACTCCTCAGTTTTGAAATATAACATGATTTTTTATAGAAGAACAATCCTGCGTTATTGTGCAGTAAAAAAATTCCATTTGTCATATTATGATTCAAGGATCTAATTTTAGATGCTTAAAAAACCATATTAAAGCTTGGCGCCTTCATATTTTTCTTCACATAACCATTTTAACTACTAAAATGGTTTAAAGTTTCTTAAATATTGTAGGGTGGTTTATTCATGGAGGGGTTGGATTTCTTCCACAATATGTTGCAAGCAGGTGCCAAACCAAATCAATACACTTTGGTAAGTGCTCTTGCAGCCTGTTCAAATTTAGTAGCCTTGGATCAGGGAAAGTGGATCCATGTTTATATTGACAAAGGTGAGATTAAGATGAATGAAAGACTACATGCTGGCCTTATTGACATGTATGCAAAATGTGGAGAGATAGAATTTGCATTAAGAGTTTTCCATGAACACAAAGTGAAGCGAAAAGTCTGGCCTTGGAATGCAATCATTGGTGGGCTTGCAATGCATGGAAAGCCAAATGAGGCTATCAAAATTTTTGAACAAATGAAGGTTGAAAATGTCACCCCTAACAAAGTCACATTTGTTTCCCTATTAAATGCTTGCAGCCATGGCTACATGGTTGATGAGGGAAATTTCTATTTTAGATCGATGAAGTATGATTATGAGATGAACCCTGAAATAGAGCATTATTGTTGTATGGTAGATCTATTGGGTAGGGCTGGCCTATTGAAAGAGGCTGAAGACATGATTTCAAGTATGCCTATGGCTCCAGATGTTGCAATTTGGGGTGCACTACTCAATGCTTGTAGGATCCATAAAGATGTGACACGGGGATACAAGATAGGCAAAATAATTAAGGAATTGGACCCTGACAATATTGGTTGTAACATTCTCCTGGCTAATATCTATTCTACATCTGGAAGATGGACTGAAGCAAAAATGTTGAGAGAGAATGACAGAGTTAATTGGGGAAGAAAGAAAACTCCTGGATGCAGCTCAATTGAGCTGAAGGGCAGATTCTTTCAATTTCTTGTTGGAGATAGATCCCACCCTCAAACTAAAGAGCTATATTCATTTTTGGATGAGATGACTACCAAGTTGAGGAATGCAGGGTATGTTCCAGAATTTGGTGAGCTTTTGCTTGATATTGATGATGAGGAAGATAAAGAGACAGCTCTATCCATACACAGTGAGAAGTTGGCTATAGCTTTTGGGTTGATGACCACAGAACCTGGAACACCCCTTCGCATAGTAAAGAATTTAAGAGTTTGTTGGGATTGTCATCAAGCAACAAAGTTCATCTCCATGGTTTATGACCGAGTGATTATAGTTAGAGACAGGACAAGGTATCATCACTTCAACGATGGAATCTGTTCTTGTAATGATTATTGGTAGATGCAAACAGTGCTAGTCGTGTGAGCTCTTGTGATTCCTGTGCATATTACCAGTATGTGGAGGGCAGTGGACAGTTTGGCGGATGGGCACTTATAGCATGGTTCTTTCCAAAGCTGCATTCTTTCATAGGAAATACTCGGGTTTATATGGTCACATGATACCCCTTCCAATTCAAGGCTGTATTTCTCAGCATAGGTAAGATATATGGTTAATTGTCTCTTTTAATAGGCATTTCTTCTTATTATTCTCTATCTCTTTGCAATCTTGGTTTCTTACTTAATTGTCTTCATCAGCAGGAACTCTAAAGACATTGCAATGTCCTTTCTAGCTGCTAATGCTACGGGTGCTCCTCCAATTTAGGTTAAAGGTAACTTCCTTTCTTTTTGGCATGATGTTATGGTGTCCAAAACAACATAAGAAGATTTTTAGGACTATCTAAAAATCATGTCAACCTCAGCTGTATGTTCAAAGACATGGGAGATAGGATACTGGACAATGGGCACAGAGTGACTTGGGACAACCCAGTATGCTCAATAAACACATCATAGACAAGTGTACTGGAAAAACAAATGTGTGTGTGTGTGTGTGTGTGTGTTTGTGGAAGAATCATAAAGTAGTATGTTAACTAATGCTTAACAGCCTGAGAAATGCTTAAGATGCATTTTGATAAAGCATCTAAGAAACGGTAAATGATGAAATTTTAATCTCAAATCAAATCCTAGGTCCAGCCGTCCAAGAGTATCATGTGGGGTGTTCCACCAACAGCAAAATTTAAATTTCACTTTATAAGAAGATTTGTAGCTCTACCCGAATAAACTAATGTGATAGATTCAATGAAATGGCAGGACGTATGTAACTATCTGTTTTGGTAAAAGATTGATGATTCTTTCGCGTTGGACTTTTATTTGTTAGTTTTTCGAGAGAAAGCAGGACACTAGTGACGTAAGAAACATGAATCAATTGTTAATACTCAATATAATCTATAAGAAGCCGCATTATTCACAAGCCATGAATGATGTGATTCACCTCAAAATCCACGCAAAGCATGTGGTTCACAACTTAATTACAACTGCTAAGTAATAACCAAGTAAAAGCATTCCTTGAATTCCTTGACTTGAGATGTAGTGAAACATGGTGATGACCTTTGCTTACTCTTCCAGGACGGAGGTTGAAATCTTTGCGATATGAGAAACTTCTTCCTTTTTGAGTAATATGGCCATTTAGTAAAACGTAGTATGAATCTATATTTGCACAATCCAGTATCCTATGCCTTTTTGCTGTCGTGCATGAGATTATGAGTCCCATTTCATTGAGCACTGCTCGATTAAGGATGCATCTATCTGTGACATACTGAATGTAGAGTGTAATTGATAACCTGGGCTAATAATGACTATTGACTGAAGTATTAAAATTACTGTGCATTGAGGTCCACATTTGCTGGCCAACCCCACCCCAACTAAAAAATGCTGCTCCTGTGCCGTCGAATGGTGTGCTATTCTCTTTTTTTCCTTAGGGGGGTCGAAATTCACATACTTGGTCTAGTAAAAGATATTCAAGGAAGTTATCTTGTAAAAGACATCTAAGGAAGTTATTGAACCAGATTTTTTAATGAATGATATATTTAAATAATTGTTTATTGATATAAATTACTAGCGGAGTGCAATCCATATAGCTAATTTTACTGGGTAGGATCAGACCTTTTCTCTACTTGTGTATCCGTTACTTGATCTTCATTCCATCTATGACTTGGCTTCCTTCTCTATTTCCTCTTTTTTTTTTTTTTGGTAAACAATTCTATATTTCCTCTTTATTGGGTTGGGTTGTGGTGAGAGGAATTGATAAAATTTGCACGACTGAGTAATGTGCAGGAAAAATCCATGAGAAGGGAGAATCTTGCATGAGCAATCTGAGAGGGCATGGCGACAGCAGAGGCAAATGTCTGAATGACTTAATATCACTTTATGGGACCGTGCCACTTGTGCCAGCCCACTTCAAAGCTGTTACCTGTTAGTGCCAAAAATGAATGGTTATGGTAGTTCTGTTATATTACTTTTTTCCACCTTCTTCCCCAGAGTTTAGCCATTAATTCACCCACGTTCCCCCATTGAAAAAGAAGACGGATCATTAGACCAGGCTTACCGATTGAGGTGGCTGGGCAAATAATATAAGCAACAATCAGGCTTATGAAGCTCTCCTCGGCATCTTAGGAAGCCTAATTGTTTTTGGGGTTTTGATCTTGGCGATAAATATAAATATAGCAAGCCAACTTTCTTATGGTTTGTAAAACCAACCCTTCTTCCTACGCGTGGACCAGTATCTGTATTGGGTTAAGAAGAGAGAGGAAATATGGATATGAAATATGAATAATGTTTGCAGAAAAAGATGGATAATGCTTTAATTGATATGCTTCATATGCCTTGTTAACGGTGCTGTCCTCTGCAGTCTTTAGTTTGTCAAAAATTTATTTATTAATATTTTATTTGTTAAAAGTTGATTTAATAAAAGTTTGTTATTATAATAATTTTTTTTCGGTGAATTGTTATTATAACAAAATTTTGATATAATATATATATATATATATATCAGTTTTATAAGTTGAAAGTTATTTGAAAAGTAATTTAAACCAGCTTTTACGATTAAAAATTATTAACTCTGATTTGAATTATAGGTACTTAAGCCTTTAACTAATTTGTATCTTGTCACCTTCTAACAAGTTAGTTGATGTCACTTAAAATTACATATTCTTTTTATGTTATTTTTATTTGATAAGGTTTCTTAATTAGAATACCTTATCAATTGCATTTCTTAATTAAGGATATTTTTTAAAAAATAGTTAATTATATTTTAAAAAATTTAAAATGTTTTATATTTTTAAATATGATAATATTATGATGTTTTAGAAAAAGTATTTTATAATACGTAATGAAAAAAGTACCTAAAAATTGTTTAAAAATTAAAAGTAACTTTTAAAAGGTAAAGACGGTCTGAATTATTGCACTGCTCCTGCGCCTCTAGGCACTTATCTGGAACTCGAGTTTTGTCCTCTGTTTAAGCGTGTTGGGTTGTCTTGTACATGTAGTGCTATGAAGAGGAAATGTCCGATCTCATTTGATGAAGAGATCAGAATAACCAAGAAAGCTAAACGCCATATTGATGTCGTTTGAGAACTGGAAGGGGAAGTCGACATGTCACTACACCCTAGAGTTTGGTTTAGGTACTCATCATTATGATAAGATTTGGACCATTTAAATATTAATATAAATGATCGAGATTTAAACTATTATTATATATTATATTAAAATAAAAATTTATAAAAGTTATAAAATAAACAATAACAACATCAACAAACTTTATTATACTATGTGAGGTCGACTATATGAATTATATAATGTTATTGTACTCTATCATTTATTTAATTTTTAGAAATATTATTAATTAAAAGGTCTTGCTCAATAATCTCTAAAAGTATTCTCTTCAGTCTTCCTCTATCCTTCTTGACAGGGCTCAAAGTCATCTGTTCCACTTTCCTTACAGGTGCCTCCCGTGATCTTCTTTGTACATGTCCGAACCACCTCAAATAATTTTCTACCATTTTTTTTAATAAGTGCTACACTCACTTTTTCCCGTATTCACTCATTTCAAATTTTGTCTTTACGTGTATATCCACACATTCATCTCAACATTTTATAAAAGTTATAAAATAATTTTAATAATTTTTTTGTTTTTAATATGGTCTAGATTTAATTTAAAAGGTTCAATTTAATATTAAAATTTTTATAATTACTATATATTGACTATCCAGATATACTCTGCACAGTCCATGTTAGCACTAAATTAAATTTAGACTGTAAAAAATACATTTAGATAGTCAATATATATCAATTATAAAAATTTTAATATTAAATTAGACTCTTCAAATTAAATTTAGACCATATTAAAAATTAAAAATTTATTAAAATTATTTTATAATTTTTATAAATTTTTATTTTAAAAAATATAATATATAATAGTATTTTAAATCTGGACCATTCAAAGGTTCAGATTTTATCACAATAATGAGCACTCAAACCGGATCCCTACACCCTATATCTAGGAAGCGAAATTATTCATTTCAAGGGCATCCTTGTCACGTTGCTAAGAGGATTAAGATGAAGAGTAATGATGAATTTAATTGTTTTTCCCTGGACTGAAAAATTGGACAGATAACAAGGTGCATGGAACTCTTAATGAAAACGATTGGACAGACGGAAGGCGACTTTGGGAGGAATTGAGAATTGTCATTGCGCAGGCTTTTACATTCATTCTCATTCTTGGATCAAGTATGGGCTTTGTTAATTCTACCACAACTTGGTTTTCTTGTACTCGTGGTGTTAAGTGAAAGTTTTTGTTTTTTTTTTATCAAAAAAAAAAAGTTTTTGTTCTTTGTTTTTTGTTTTAGTACAGGGTCACAAAAAAACTATACAAAAAGACCAAAATCTAATCATGTCTAAAATCACAAGGTTTTTTCACAATTGAGAGGCAGGTTGTGAAAGATAAAAATATCAAAATTTTCATATAATGTCTTATGGGCTAGTAGATCAACCCACTTATCGACTTTTCTTTAGATATAGTCAAAAATAACCACCCAGTCTTTTGTATTACGATATTTGATATTCTTGATAATCAAAAAGGGAATGGTTGTCATAATAACTGCTATCAATAAGTGATAAATCCTACATAAAACCTGACTAAATATTAATTTTGAATAATTTTTCATTCCAGCAAAGATTGAAGCATTTCAAAATTTTCAAGAGTTTGGCTACTATACTTGGATAATACCCAAGATTATTAGAAAATTTCTAATTCAATTTTTCTTATTATCTCTAATGACGCCTCCACAGGTAGTAACACTATTAATAATAATTGAGTTATCAATATCGAGTTTAATACACTCAAAGGGCTGCACTTAGCGCAAGTTGGTTTCACTTAATGATGGCTTTCATGGTTTTAATAGAGCTTTTCTAAAAAACTCCATTCAGAATCATGATCAACCTTTGGGCCTCTTATTTTACTTGCAGTCACTCAGAGGCCTACAATGCAATGCTGCCTTTGTTTTTCTTTTTTTCAGTGTTCCAAGATTTCCTTCAAGAAGGAATTGATGCTTTCGAGTTGCCTTTGCTTTTTCAAAAACAGCAGTTCTTCAATTCATACGAGAATAATCTATATATGCTTCATATTCCTTCAACTTCTTTGAAAGTTTGAATGATTGGAAGTTTAGAAGCATTTTAATTTAATATCACTTGTTATGATACTCCACATGCGAATATATCAATCAAAGAAGGGTCTGCTTCTCCAGCAATTATTTCTCCTTGGGATAGCCACTTCGATTATCTCCTTGTTGATGTTGTTTCTATTGTTGTCATTTTTCTGGTTTTGTTGCGTTGTTCTAAGTTTCTATTTCTCCGGTTTATACCAAATTTTGTTTGTAATCTTTCTGGTCTTTTGTGTTTTTTTTTTTTTGTCTAATGGACTTAAGTGGATGGTTCTACTATTATGCTTGGCCTTTTATTGTACTAATTGTTTTCCTTGTTTAATAATGTTTGACTTTATATTTAAAAAAAACCAAATTTTAACAAATAAGCTTTCAAAAAATTGCAAAGAAACTTTATAAAAAAAAAAAATTACCCAAAAAGGATTCAACAGACCTTTTGGTGATGTTATTCCTAATGATCAAATAGATTTTTAAAAAATATTTAAGTTACCACTCAAGCACTGCTACTAAAATTTTGAACATTCTAAAAGGCTTGAATCTGTATTAGAGTAACAAGTTTACTAAAATTAACACTTTCTGTGAGAAAGAGTATTAACTATTAGCAAGGCTTATCTAGCATAACTTCTCCAATAACCATTACTTTTCATGCTTCCAATAACAAATCTTGAAACCATGAGATTTGAACTTTCATCAGTTAGGCATAGATTATTCTGAATATGAAATGATTTATTTTACTTTGTAACTTTTTTTTTAAATGACACTTAGGTCTCAAGATTTTTATGAAATTCATAAAATACTATTAAATTTAAAATTATACAAATTTATAACTTGATTAAGAACATCTACAATTGAGTAATGAGCATTTACAGCTTACAAAAAAAAAATTTATAATAGTAGGTTATAAATAATTTATGATAGTAAGTTGTAAATATCTTTAATTAAATTATAAAGGTACAAAATCTAAAATTTTAGAGTATTTTATGAATTTTTTGATACCTCTTAAAAATAAATTTTTTTTTGTACATTAGGTGTAATTTTTCAAAAATAAAAGGGGGGAACAAAGAAAATGAAACTCATCCTGGGAAGTTATATTTTGTGCCAATTTTACCCTTAAAAAATAAGATAATTTCAACTTTACCCCTCCAGAGCCCTAACCCAGCTTCCACCCGCTGGTCGATCACTCTGCGACCAAGGAGAAACGTGGAGCGTGCCGTGCCGTGCGACGGAGGAGCTGTCAACGACGGATGTTTCGACGGCGACGTACCCATTGAAAGGCTGCGCCATTTAAAGGCGTCATTCGAAGGTTTTCTCACTTCTCTGTTACTGTACTCTCCTGCACCGTCCATCATTGTTTCTATAATCTATTAGGTCGCAAGACTTTCTTCATGGGGCACCTTTTTAAACTTCTCTTCCTCGAGAATCTATTTTTCCGATATTTATTCTTTATTGTTGCTCTTTGTTAGAATAGTGAGTATGGAAAAGAGATTTCGTTTTGGTAGCACAACACTGGTCGAAAGTAAATAGGAAGTCCCAGAACATTGAAGAACAGAGGAAGTCACGATACATTATTTGGTGTTCGCTTTCCTTCTTCAAAATATAGTCACTTGGTATCAACTTGCTAGGAAGCAAAATAGGACCTATTTTTCCCCTTAAGAAAAATAACTCGTTTCGGTTATTGTAGAATCCAAAATTTGATATAGTTCATTTTTCTCATTAATATTGTGTCATGAGTCCCATTGGGAAACTTAATAAGTGGTATAAGGATTATAAGTTTAAGAGGCTCTCCCACCTGCTTATCACATATTGGTTGAATAGAAACCATCCCATGAATTAGTTGCAACCAAGAATCAAAAGGTGACTTGGATAGTTGGATGTCTATTTTTAACAGCATGGTGTGTTGAGCCTCCCCACTCCCGCTCCCTCTCCCTCTCCCTCGGGAAAAAAATCTAGATAAATTAGGTATTCACCTTCCAAAGGAACACCCGGTCTTACTTGGGATAATGCTGAGACATGGACGGATTCAATTGTGCATTTAAATTTGTGGCATGCTATGTCTGGTCCTGTATATATAGTTTTGGTGCTATGTATAAAGATTGGGGAAAACTCTGACATTTTCCGTGGCTGTGTTTTGCGGTTTGTGAAATAGTCTGAATACTGTTGGTAAGCTTCTAGCTGCATATGTGAATTTTGTGATAGTCACCTGTTAAATTTTGGGCTGCATATGTCTTTCCTAAAAAGTGCACTATGATCTTTGCTCATGAACTGCCATATATCTTCCTCCTTTGCCATGAGTCTTTCATTTTCGTGATTATATCTAAATCAGGCAAAATAATTATCGGATATATGCAGAGAGAGAAAATAATCAGGGTGTTTCTTCAAATGATTGTTATTCTTTTCTTTCTGTAAAGCCTCTCGTTCCTTTAAGCTCCACGTTTTATATTACTTCCCTAGGTGTGGAACATTACTTGTTTGTCTGGTTCTGAAGTTCATGGTTTTATTGTTCTGGTTACTTGAACGTTCCTTAATTTATATTTTGGTTTGGCTTTTGACAGTGCAAAAGTGCCTCAGAGAAGGTAACTTGCCATGTGTGAAAGAAAATGATGATCAATTAAACTTCCAAATTCTTCTTGAAGAACTATTTTTGTATCTTTGTATACAGTGGAACTATAGCTAGAATCTTGTTAGTAGACTTATGGAATGAACATTATAATATCATATGTAATTTGGCTTACTCATTGAAGTAGATGCTTTACTTATTTTGAAATAGTTCAACGTGGTTTAGTTGAATATCATATTATTAGTTTATAATTTTTTGGATAAGATATTACTAGTTTATAGTTAGCAATAGATAAAGAGATATGAAGTTGGAGGCTTATAAAAACTGTTAATATATTAGAACTGTTAAGTGACAGTAGCTGTACAGAGAAAACATACTGAAGAGAATAACCCATTACAATATACATCCCATTTTAGGGTATCCAAAAGTATTAGAGCGATATACTGTAGTTGGGAGAATCTCATATTCATAATTGCATCTCAAAAGAAACAATGAAAGAGTTGGCATAAAAATAAGCATAAAGAAAGATTCTTGCTTTACAGAGGATTTTTACTTTATTATTTATTTCTTTTTTGGTCCAAAAAAGTGTATAATTCAAAGACTTAATCATGGCCCAGAAATGCAAACAAAACAAACTGACAAAAGAAGGAATTGTGCCAAAATTTATTAGCCAAGCATCTATTTGCCCCATCCATACCTCTAGTCACCTTCATTTGTAAGAACAGCTGACGCCATTTTTGTTATGTCACTTCCTCTTATTCTCTCTAGTCTTTACTTGTGATCTTTCAAGTAATGTAACCCTTTTAAAACCTTGCTTGTTTGAAATGAATTTTCACACCCTCCACCCCATATGGGGGTAAAGCTACCTTTCAGGCTGGCGTGCATTTTGGTTATTTGTATTGAACTAGAATTCTTGTTCCAGTTTTTCTTCAGTTCATTGTGCTCGATAATATCCAAAATGGACTTATATTGACTTGATTGGTGAAATATTAAACATGGGGATCAAGTTAACGTTTGATCAGCTAAGCCCGCATTCATTTGTAAAGTAGTTATGCAATGTATTTTATGTATTTATATTTTGCACCCTTTATACAGCATTACTCTTGAAGGCTGGATGTGGTTTAGTGACTGAGATTGTTATGTGGAGGTTACTCTGCTTGGTGAAAAAATGTAGGATGAGGATTCTTTTTCCTTGAGTAACGACTCTCTGTTGAAAGCTTCTACTGGATATGGCATCTTTTATTTGTGTGGAAACGATATAGACAATATAACTCCTGATTTTCTCCTTGTGCATTTTTAAAGCACATTGTATAGCTTTATCACTGCAATATGATACAATTGCAACCACATTGTATGGCAATTTACCACTATCACAGCTCACTGCAACTACAATTTGCTCCTTTTTGAATTTGTGTTTTAGGTATTATAATGTGAAACAAATATATGAAGATATATTCAACTATTGAGATCTACTGGGTATGATGTGATTAGTGTGTTTATGGACAGTCAGTCATAATCTCATGGAGTAACCTGATCTATTAGTTTAAAGCTTATTGTCTATTTGCTAATAAAATTGGTTTTCCATCTGTGGAATATTGCCTGACAGAGAAGCAAGTAAGTTTAGCCTAGAAGAAGAAGAAAGAAGAAAAGAGTCATGGCAGGCAAAGCTGCTGGTTCAGTGACGAAGGCTGTAGGTGGATATCAGTATCCATGGCGTGAGAAGTTGGTAAAGTATAGGGATGAACTTGCCAAAGGTGTCTGGGGATACTGGGAGCTCGGAGCATGGAAACCGCTTGGTATTAGTGCTCGCCGTAGGGCTCGGTTGCGCAAGGAAGTGCTTCTTGCTGGGGAAGATTGGCCATATGATCCGGAGAGGAAGGAGATGAAAACCAGAAGGAAAGGACATAAATGTGACAGGATAGCTGCAGAAAAAAGGGAGAACACTGCAAGATTGATGGAGAAGATGCCAGACATGTTGCTGGATTACAAGAAGCGCAGGTGGGAGAAGAAGATGAAGGAAGAAGACAAAGGCAAATAGTAAAGCGCAGGTGGGAGAAGAATATGAAGGAAGAAGACAGAGGCAAATAGTAACTTTTCTGTGCAATTTTGCTTTGTGCTTAGTTCTTCCTTTTTTTTTTTTTTTATCCCATTGCTTGGTGTCTTGAGAAACCTAGAGGTATTACCACTACCCAAACTCCTGTTGTGTGAGAGTGTTATTATCAACGGCGGTCTCACAAATATCTCTGGGATCCCTTTGTCATTTTTATTTAATATGACTACATATTTTAAGATTTGAACTTAAAATTCCAATATAAGCTTATTCCAACCAGTTGAATCTAGTATGTCTCAGCTAGTGCTTCTGGATTTTAGCTTAGAATTTGGTGATTTCCTTCCCATATTGCAATGTTTGTTTTTTGTGTAGGTATCAATTTAGAAGAACCTTTTGGAAGACTCACCTTGTGGCTGTTTCTTGTGGTCCGTTATCTTTGCAAATTATTTAATCAACCCAAAAGTGAACTTCGGAATAAGTGCTTCAATTTCTGTCTTGGATTTGGGCTCCTCTTGCTAATTGGCAGTGGTTTACTCTTTCTCTCCACAATACAGTTTTTTTGAGCTTTTTGTTGGTTCAAAATATTAGTTCCAAACAATATATATATATATATATATATGTATGTATGTATAAGTTTAGTTTGATAATTTAGAGCATTTAATTTTTTTCCTTTCCTATTTTGTACTTGTATATAATTAAATATTATGAGTGATTAATGTAATGACAATTAAGGACCTCCTAAAAAGGTCAACACCAAATTAGGACTTTTTAAAGATTTTCAATCGTAAAATATAAGAGATGAATATTGAATCTAGAAACTTAAGTTACAATCAGATCTTAATTTAGAATTAAATTTCTTGTGAGGTTATTAGTTGTCATTCTCTGTTTTTTTTTATTACAATTTTTTTTACGTCTTTAACAAGCTAACTTCTATCTAACTTTATTGTTCTTTGTGTAAATAGAAAACTTGAACTTATATTATGGATCGAAAGAAAGAGTATGTAGTTGTGATATTGAGAAGATTTATTTTTATTTATTTATCTTATACGTGATATGAAAAGTAGTATGAATGTTAAAAAGAGAATTTGATTTTAGTGATGCTGGTAACATTTTAATCTAGTTTTGTTGAAAGGATTTCCATAATTTGACTATTGCTTTTTCACAACGTCATTCTGTTTCTTGCAATAGATTGGTTGAAATGAAGTTAAATAATATTAGAAATATTATAAGTCGCTTAAAAATTTTAAAATCTAAAAAAATCATTATGAAAGGCCCAATTTCAACCTTACCCCGTGCATGGAATGGGTCAATATATTTATATTTATATTTATGTATAGTTTTGCATTAAACAATAGCATGACATGCTTTGCTATAACTAACTTGCGGTCGAGAAGCTGCACATATTTGAACGGCCTTTAGTCAAATAATTAAATAAATGAAACAAATCCAAAGTCAGAAATACTTTCGAAAAATAAGAGCTTCGGTTTCTAGGCTCCTCTCACTAATTAGTATTTGGTCTACAAAGTTTTCTATTGACCAAATACATATATTTTTTGTTCAAAAATATAAAATATTTTTAATTTTAGCAGAATTTTATCTCTAATAAAATAGTTGATTGTTTTTAAATTAACATTATCTTTTTCTATTTATTTTTATCTAACAGAGTATTTTAATTTAAAATAAATATAAAATAATTTATTTATTATGGGAACTTTTTGAAAAAACATTAATTACACCTTGAAATAAAAAAAATGTCATATATTTTTAAACATTCAACCTTTCAAAAAAAACCGTAGATTTTTAAATGGAGGAGTATGATATATGGATAAAATGTTTTATTTATTTTAAATTTTACAATTAATAGACATGATATTAATTAAACCAAAAAAACCAAAATCATCCTTTCTGTTGTATTGTATACATGATATTCAAAGAAAAAATGATAGTTAAATCTCAAAATAATGAAATAGTAACAGTTAATTTTTGACAATTTTTTTAAAAACAAGTTACAAATATTGATTTAAAAGATTACAAACAAACCCAAAATATAATGTAAGAGTTATGTTTAAAAATTAAATATCTTATATATAATTGAAATTCTTAAATTTATAATTATTTAAATTAATATGTTCAACTTATTTTTTAAAGAATTTTATCAAAAACCTCACTCTCATTTATTTAGACATGATATCTAATGAACATTTTTGCTTCTCAACTATTTGCTCAAAAGCATTTGATATTGTAAACTAATATGTGGTGCAATTTTTCCTTCAATCATTTAAAATAGTATACCAACACCTTGTTGTTAAATTATTAATTTTAACCGTTAGTTAACTCAAAAAATACCTCAAATGTTACAGAAAAAGCTCTAGAAAATTACATAAAAATATGTAGTAAAAAATTATTAATTTTTTTTCTAAATTATAGAAAACAAATATAATGTTTTTTTAAATTATTTATTGTATTGTTACCTGTAATTGTGATCCATTAATTATCCAGTATTCTGATATTTATGTGTAATTTGGAAAATTCACTAATTTTCTTATAGTGACTTATGAGTAATTTTCTGGTTTCTTTTTTATAATTTTTGAGATTATTTTTTATAATTTTTGAAGTCAACTAATGGTCAATATTAATTTTTAAACAACAGTGTGTTCACACTATTTTCAAACGTTTAATGATAAAATTATATAACATATAAGTTTAGAATTTTAAATATCCTTAAACTAAATAAATAAGTAAGAACAAAAGTGTCCCTCAACCCATTTAAAACTTTAGAACCTAGCTTTCATTTCTTCCATATTCAAATGGTACAGATGTGTTTTCCTTGCAAAGCAGTGACCACGTGAAGTACACACCAAAAACTAGCAAACAAGTCAACTAGGCCGGTGCCACATGTTCAATCGCTGTTTCATTTTTTTCAGAATATATATTAAATCGAAAATCTTAACTGGTTGCCTGACACGCGCATATGTAACATCATTTTGGAATTGGCATAGGATGTCAGTACTCAGTACTCACAGCATTATAAATTGGGAAAATTGTACATAAGGACCAAAGGGCCCATATATTTGGGCATGAATCCAAAATGTAAAAATAAAACCTAATTAAAATATCCTTTTAAAAACAAAATGCACTTGTATCCAGAATACAGATGATTAAAGACTCATAGATGACTTCAACAAATCAATGCAACAAAAAGGGTATTGTTATTTTCTCTCAAAATGCATTATCCTCCTATGATCATGGTCCCATGTAGGTTTTATTTCTGTATTTGTAACTTATGACCAAATATTTGGACCTTTTGCTCCTTGTGGGCTGTGGCCAATTTTTCCTTATAAATTTCAAAAATTAAAAAAAGGACATCAATAATTAATTCCTGCTTGTAGGGATTACTATTTTATTAAATGAAATTTTGCAAACAAACCCCACTCCTCCTGTTTGATTTTTTCGCCCCATTTATTACGCGTTTTCCTTGATTACCCCAGTTTGAATATTAATTAGTTTTATAGGATTATTTTCCTTGAAAAATCACACACACACACACACACATATATATAGATATAATAAAGTGACTTTACGATTACCATGACAATTACCTTTAAAAATTCAATCTTTCAATTTTATTTTATATTTTAAATCAATTTCTTAACTTGATATTATGTAAAAGTAATGCATCATTAACAAGTGTTTACAATTTTAGAAAATGATATTTTTATGTGGATATATTTTTTATGAAAATATGTTATCGAAGAAGGATGTTAGTAAATAAAGTTAGTTTTTTCCGCTATTTTTTTTTAACTTTTAAATGATTTTTTTTTTAATTTATGCCCAACTGTGTCTTGCTCTTGTATTATGGGGAGCTCATATGACCTCTGGTTCGGAAACTGTTTTACTTTAATATTGATCATTTCTTCAAACATAATCCTTAATGATCGAGCTATTTTTGAAATTAAATTTATCATTATAATATTATATATTTATATTCTAAAGTATAGATTTGAATTTCAAAAATTCAAAATAAATAATACAAGTGCTAATTTTATAGTGCAAACACGTTTAAATTTAATTCAAAGAGATAAAATACTATAATTTTTAAGGTTAGAATAAATATAGATTTAAATAGGTTGGTCAAGCCTTTGTTTTTAGGGCTTAAAAAAGCCAAACTCATAAGCTCTTTCATATAGAAAAATACTCTAATTTTCAAACTCAAAGACTAATAAAAGAAATGATGTACACTCTGATAAACCCAACCTGCAAATTTAATTCAAAGAGATAAAATACTGCAATTTTTAATGTTAGAATAAATACAAAGATTTAAATAGGTAGATCAAGCCTTTCTTTTTTTTTTTTTAGGGCTTTAAGAGGCCAAACTCATAACCTCTTTTATATAAAAAAAATGCTCTAATTTTCAAAGTCAAAAACTAAAAGAATTAGTGTAAATGAGCAACTCGATAAACCCAACCAGTAAATTTAATTCAAAGAGATAAAATATCACAATTCTTAATGTTAGAATAAATATAGATTTAAATAGGTAGATCAAGCTTTTTTTTAGGGCTTAAAAAAGCCAAACTCAAAAGCTATTCTACGGAAAAATACGTTAATTTTTAAATTTAAAGACTAAAAATAAAGGATGTGAATGTTTAACCCAATAAACCCAACCCGTATTCATTCAGTTGGAATTAATTAGGCCTCAATTTAGGGTCAATATTTAACATTAAAAGAAAGTGATTTTGATGAGACTAAACATGATAAATTTGTTGAAAGTATGATTAAGTTGGAAAAGCTTAAACTAAATTTATGAGGGATTTGTCAAAAAAAATTAATAGGTTATTTAAAACAGTGTATAAAAAAGTTAAAAATATATTTTTTAACAAAAATTTTATGATTAGCTTAATAATTTCTCAACAATTCAAGTATTAAATTTAATTAAAATAAATTTTTAAATTTTAAACGAAGCAACCATTAATCTAAAATCTATTAATATTGGGGAGGGGAGAAAAAAGCAAAGCCCATTTTTCATGTGAAGCATATCATACTATCACAGTACTTTTTCAGCATGCTGATGTAAGACAAGTGAAAAAAAATGAGTGATGGGTTTGTGACTTTTTTCTTTAAAAAATACCACTAAAGCCTTAAAAAGTAAAAATTTTATAAATAAGGTATAATAAAATTTAAAATTATTATGAGGATCTAAAGACTTCATTTATAATTATATTTTTTAGTGAAACAATCAATTTATCCCTCCAATAACCAGCTGCTGAACAACAATTTATTCTTCCTCC